GTAAAGGAAAACATAGTCAGAAATCTTTGGAGAAAGCAGCAAACACACCAGCATGTATGCAAAGTCGTCCCAGGGACAGGAGCCGGAAGGGTCTCTGAGAGGAAAACTTAAACGAAACAATGTCTGAAACTCTTACTTTTCAAATGGGATGAAAACCATCAATCTACAGATCTAAGAAATACAAGGAAGCTGAACATGGATTAAAATAGATGTACATAACCACCTTGGAGGCTCCTGCAGTCCGCCTCCATAAAGAAGCACAGGCCTATGTGGAGGACTGACTGTCCAGCAGCTACAACCCTCTGTGTGGGATTCTGATGGTGGGGGAGGATGTGAGGTGCAGGCAAGGGGCGTAGAGTTCTCTGCATCTTCTATTGAACTTTGCTGTGACTTAAAACTATTCTAAAAAATAAGAAAAAAAGAAAGACATTTATATGTAAAAACTGAGAAAATTCAGTGCTAGCAAACTGGTCCTACATGAAATACTAAAGGATGTATTTCAGCTGAAATTGTAGTGGCACCCTCTCCTTAACAAAAAATCTTAACTAAGCTTCTCGAGAAATTTTCACCATAATTGATTTTAAGACTATAAGCAAAAGAGTCTCTACAAAAAGTTCAATGTAGTTAAACTTCCTATATTCCTGTTGTTCTATTTTACTTGGCCACTGGCCAGAGAGAAATCAGCACTCCAGGTGCTCAATGCCCTTTCACTTGTTTTTCACAAACATGTTTCCAGTATAATAATTTGTAGAAGTATGTTTGCAAATGCAAAATGTGATTAAAAAAGACAAATCCTTTAACAAGGCCTCTGGCCTTGAGCTGGAGTTTTATAGAGATGTCTACATTTCTATGGAGAAGTTACCTATTGGGCTCCATGGTAACAGCTGGCAGGGGAGGGAAAAAAGGAGAGAAGAAGCTCCCCCCTTCTCAAAAGCTGAACTTGAAGGGTTAACTTACCCAGAACAGTGAAAGAAAAAGCTGCTTTTATGTGAATTTCTGCAGACTGTGAACTTCTGAGCCCCTTCCCTTACATGCTGGGTATAAAATTCTGAAACTACCTGAACTCGAGATTCAGGGGATTGATTGATTATAGCAAAAGCTTTGCCCTCTGAACCTGGTTGCAGCCAAATAAAACTGTGTCCTGCTATCTTCGGTGCCTTGCCTCGTCTGTCCCTACAACAAAATGAAATAATACAAATCCCCACACACAAAAACTAAAAAAAATTAAAAGAAAAGAATGCCAGAAGAGGCAAGCAAGCTGGCAAATGGAAAATATCACGTTATCTTTTGTCTTTGCTTATAATTTCTCTAAAATTATGAAATTTAAAAAAGCAATAATTTTAATATGCTGGGTTTATAACAAATATAATACACAGAATAATAATTTGAAGGAGGAAGAAGAAAATAGAGCTGTATTAGAGCAATGTTTATCTATGTTACTGGAATTAAATCAATATTAACCTAGAGTAGATTGTAATAAATTAAGATGCATATTGTAATGCTTAAAGCAGCAACTTGAAAATGACTTAAAAAAAAAAACATTAAAGAATTAATGGCAGGGGCTGGGGATGTGGCTCAAGCGGTAGCGCGCTCGCCTGGCATGCGTGCGGCCCGGGTTCGATCCTCCAGCACCACATACCAACAAAGATGTTGTGTCCGCCAATAATAAATAAATAAATATTAAAAAAAAAAAAAAAAAGAATTAATGGCAGGACTAGGGCTATAGCTCAGTGGTAGAGCACCTATCTAGCACATGTGAAGCACTGGGTTCAATCCTTAGCACACATAAAAAAATAAATAAAGGTATTATGTCCATCTACAACTTAAAAACAAAACAGAATTAATGGCAAAAGCCAGGTATGGTGGCACAGCAATGTTAATCCTGGCAACTTGGGAGACTGAGACAAGAAGATTACAAATTCAAGCCAGCCTGGGCAGCTTACAAAAGCCTGTCTCAAAATAAAAAATAAAAAGAGCTGAGGATATAGCTCAGTGGTAGAGTGCTCCTCGGTTCAATTCCCCAGTACCATTAAAAAAAATAAATAAATAGTGACAATTAAATGGTATTAATGGTCACTAAAAATTTTGTTTAATGTCTGAAAAGGCAGAGGTTATAAAAATGCAAGGTCCAACAAGATCTGAAAGCAAATTTAGATTTGAAGACACAAAGAAGCTGAAAAATATAAGGAAAAAAATTATAATGTACATACAATAACCCAAGAAGCTAAAATGGCTTCATTAATATCAGATATAACGTACTTTAAAGTAAGAAGTATCAGTAGAGAAATATCTCATCATGACAAAGGGGTCAATGTACCAGGGAGTTACAATGACATGTACACACATTCAACATCATTCCCAAATGTAGAAATCAAAAGTTGGCAAAAGTCTTTAGTATGATTCCCTCAGAAACGGGAAGAATTAGAGAGAAATCAGTGAGGAATCACATCCTATCTGCATACCCATGTCCCTCCAGAATCCATGGGGAACTAATCTCTAAGGGTGGCTCTCAGGGATCAGGTTAGTGCATCTCTTCCAGAGGCCCTGGCTGCTTGGCCCCCAACCCCCACCTGCCGATTATACCAAGACTGCTATCTGTGAGAAAGCAGGTCTGCCACGCTAGAGAGCGAATCCTACTATACTTTCAAACTCACCTTAAGCAACTGTCACGTGTGGTACACATGTAAGGACAAACAGAGACCAAATGAAGAGAATGAATCTTAAACCCTTGCATTTACGGCCCATCAATTTTCAACAAATCATCAAAGTGCTCCTGCAGCGGCAAGGCCAGTCTCAGAGAGAGCACCGGATAATTGGATGTCCATATACTTAAAAACACAGATGCAGACTTTAACCTTACACCATAAGCAAACTCTTATTAGTCAAATGAATCGCAGCATCTAAATGTTACAGTTTTGTGTTAGGCCAAGTTTTCTTAGACAATGTATCAAAGGGATGGTTCAGAAAAGAAAAAAACTAATAAATTGGAATGAATTAAACCCAAAGCTTCTGCTTTACAAAAGACACTATTAAAACTGGGTTGGGGTTGCGGCTCAGTGGCAGAACGCTTGCCTATCACGTGCGAGGCCCTGGGTTCGATCCTCAGCATCACATAAAAATAAAATAAAGGTATTGTGTCCAGCTAAAAATAAACACAACAATAATAAATATTTTAAAAAAAACACACAAAATAAAGAGACACATTATAGACCATGAGGAAACAGTGCAAATCTCATATCTGATGAAGGATATATATCCAATATATGAAGAACTCAGTAACAGGACAGAAAAGGAAACAAATAGCCCTTAAATATAGGAAAGGAGGTTTACCTATTAAAGGGAAATGAAAACTGAAACCCCATGGGTTACCATTTCCATATATCAGACTGGCAACAATCCAACAAAACTGTGGGGCCACTCTTTTTTGGAGTCTGGGTGGTCACCATGGCCTTACCCAACCCCACTCACTGATGTTCTTACCCACAGTTCACTGCTGGACTAGTCCTAGAGCTATATCTGCTTTTGTACACAACGTCAGATGTACAAAGTTACTCACTGAATAGTTTGCAATGGTCAAAGAGGGGATGAACAGCACAAGTGCCCATCAACAGAGAACTAAAAAGGAAAAACAGAAACTACAGAATGTTCACATTATGAAAGAGAGTGAGGCCAGCAGAAGGGAATGAGAAAGTACGCTCTGCAGAGACATAATCTGTCAGGATGCACTGTCAGGCAAACAGGTACAGAACTGTGTGTGTGTTATTAGACAGCCTTTCTCACAAAAAAGGGGAAGAATAAATATTATACATGCACATAATAAACAGATTATCTACTGGGACTAGGGACTTGGTATGCAAATGTGACAGGATGGGTGGGGAAGAAGGTAAGGGCCAGATTTCTTAATGTATATACCTTTAACATTGTCTTTCATTTGAATTATATATATTTATATCACCTATCAAAATGAATTTATTAGTCTAAGCACAGTGGTGCACACTTGTAATCTCAGTGTCTCAGGAGGTTAAGGCAGGAGAATTTCAAGTCCCAAGTCAGCCTGGTAAACTCACTGAGGCTCTAAGCAACCTGGTGAGGCCCGATCTCAAAAAAAGGACTGGGGGGCTGGGGTTGTAGCTCAGTGGTAGAGCGCTTGCCTGGCACACGTGAGACCCTGGGTTCGCTCCCCAGCACCACAAAAATAAAGATATTGTGTCTATCTACAACTTAAAAAAAAATAGCCTCTCCTTGCTTCTATATAGAAAAAAAAAAGGAAACGAACATGAAGCATTACAAAATGAAGAAGATGATTAGATTCAAGCAAAGGAAACAAAATTAAAATAGGAACTGGGGGCTGGGGTCGTGGCTCAGGGGTAGAGTGCTCGCCTAGAACGTGTGGGGCCCTGGGTTCAATCCTCAGCACTACATAAGAATGAAATAAAGATAATGTGTCCAACTACAACTAAAAAATAATATTTTTTAAAAGATTTTTAAAAATTATGAATTGTCTGTTTTACAAGTGTGTCTTGATTCTCTCTGATTCTGAGCCACAGAAATAACTTGAAATGGAATACTTTCACAGTTAATAATGCCCATGTTTGGGAAAAATATATACTGAGAGACTCATGACAAAAAGAAAATCTGAAACATGAAACCCTACCTGCTGGGCTGGGTAAGAAGGGGGTGGAGTGTCCACTTTACTTTCCTCTGCCCTGGGGCTCCCGTTTCCCAGGGTCCCATCTTCCTTTGGAGCTCCTGGGGGCTCCCCACTGCTTTCACCATCCACTTCTTCATCGTCGGCTTCTGAAGAGCTACTACTGGTGCTGCTCACCTGTGGGGACTTAAAACGCAGCCTTTTGTAACTTACATTTTTCAAAGCAGAATAATGCAAAAATTAAACTTAGGCCACCATATTATGCCACCTATTGTGGCTACAAGTAATCACGCTCATACCTCATCTTTCAGGGCCATGTTTTCCCCACCACCATTCAGTTCACTGTGGATCCCATTCATGTTGGCCACCACCTCGGTATCGTCGTAGTTACTCAATGGATAAATATCAGCAAACTTGGCTGACAATGGTGCAACGTCCTCATCATCACTACAACTGAGACAACAGACAAGGTCAAAGGCAGCTCCTATACTGCAGAGGAGGATAAGGAGCCACCTGCTGTGCACAGAAGCCTTCTTTAGATCACTGCTTGTGTTCAGAGTCCTGTAAAGCATCACTCACTACCAATACCTCCTGGTCACCTGAATAAGAGAGGAGAGACCTAGAAGATCAGCATTTTTACTACCTAGAAGAATGGAAAGGGAAAACCTCCAAAAGCAGAAATATTAAGGAAATCACAAACATTTAATCAGACTAATGGATATTATATTTATTATGTGACTTGAGATGCCCTGCTACAAAACTATTCCTTCTACCACTCCCAAGCCCAGACACAATTGTTTTATTTAAAATTAAAGGGGTACATTCAGATGCAGTGGTGTATACCTATAATCCCACCTACTTGGGAGGTTGACGTTGGAGGATTTTAAGATCAGGGCCAACACAAGACAACTTAGAACCTGCCTCATAATAATACATAGAAAAGGGCTTGGGCTGGAGTTATGGCTCAGTGGTAGAGCACTCGCCTAGCACATGCTAGGTGCTGGGTTCGATCCTCAACACCACATAAAAATAAATAAATAAATAAAAATAAAGGTATTGTGTCCAACTACAACTAAAAACAAAGGAAAAAAGGAAAAAGAAAAAAGGAAAGGGCTAGGGGTATAATTCAGTGGTAAAGCACCTCTGAGTTCACCAGTACCACCAAGGAGAAAAGAGGGGGGGGAAGGGGGAGGGAGGGAGAGGGAGAGAGAGAGAGAGGCATGCACACGCACACACAGAGGAAGGAAGGAAAGAAGGAAGAAAAAGAATTATTTGGGGCTTGAGAACGAGTCCATACTGAGAACTGGAAGACTCTAAAGGAAAGGTTTCTCATTTATTATGTGACTTGAGATGCCCTTCTCAGTTTCCTTGAGAAATCCAGAGAGAGGAGATAAAGGTATGACTCCTGTCAGAGAAATCTGAGGAAGGCTGAACAGCTGAGGTCAGGGGCAATAATCCCTGGCACTGGAATCTCTGCAGGGCTCATGATGGCTGCATGCTCTATGATGCACATGCAATGGAAGTCTAGGTCTACTCAAGTAATTACCACCCTTCCATAAGCCCTCACAAATGACAGTGTCACAACTCTGAAGGAATCTGGGACCAGCCAACCACAAAGTGAATAGGCAAGAGCAGCAGGGCAGCCTTGCCATATAAAAGGAACACCTAGTTATGTGGGAACACAGAAGACAAACTTTCCATCGCTTGCTAACACGATCATTTGAACTCTTAGCAAGACATGAGGCAAGCATGAACGCTGGGCTGACAATGAGGCGAGTGAACGGCTGCTGACCGCCCTCCAGGAGCACAAGAAGAAGGGGCCAGAGCCAAGGAGACACTTCCCTGCATACCAACATGTTTTTCATGTTTTTCACTGTACTGGCACTTGTTAATTTAACATTTTTTTCAGGTAATGAAATAAGTGTCAAACTTTGAATTGACTGATTTCATGTTTTAAAAGTTGCTTAAAACAATGCAAGGTCTTTTTCATGAAAAGCATTATGATGATGTTCATACTTCTGTAGACATCACTGTTTCTTGCGATTGAATACTTAAAATTTCTGAATCTTTATTACACAGTTACAACTTACAAAGTTGGTGCAGAGCCATTGTCTGTGAGGATGAGTCTGGGATGTTGCTGAACTGTGATGGGAGAGCTGGAGCCTGACCCTGAGCTTGCTGAGGACACGCTAGGTGGGCGCATCTCAGAGAGATAGTCGGGAGCAGAATCCACTTGGAGTGGTAGCTGGTGAATGTGGATGTCATCAGTGACGGGGGTGTCCATGATACCACAAGTGAGGATGTGTGAGAGGCTGCAGTCATCGCAAGCACATCTGATCGGGAATTAAGGACAGTTACCAAGAGAGCCAACACAGAAGGTCATCATGTTCTCTGAAGGTCAGTTCCAGACCTCCACCTGGTTCAAGGAGGGCTGCAGGCTGCTGCACCCATGATAGCCCAGCTCACCTTCTCCTGTAGTTGCAGTTGGGGCAGTCAGGCATGCTCAGTCGTGATGACAACATGTGCCTCATGGTATCTGTGAAGTTGTTCTCGCCAGTAACCGCTTTCTTATTGGTTAACTAGAAGAAATTATCAAACAATTGCTTAATTTCACAGAAACCTTTCTCCATTTCATGGATCACATTTTCTAGTAATTATGATAATATGTAGAAATCAATTTGGTCAGCTTCCTCAGGTGGGCAGGACCAGGATACAGGAGCGGCAGACCTGCAGCTAAGCTGCACAAGGGTCCAGGTACCAAGAACCTCCTAAATATTTTGGTCTTCAGCAAGCACACTGTCACGTGCCCTTATAACAGACATCCAGAAGGCAGGCTACTGAAGATACCCAACCTTTACCCTCTATCTGTCAAGTACTCTGTATCTTCTGGGAACCAGGAAGGCAGCCATAGAAAGAGAGACTGGTATGTGGTGTTGGAGGAAGAGGCTTGGACCTGGAAACTTCCTTCCAATTGACTAGGAAGCATCTGAGTATCAAAGGAGAAGGAGTTCTGGACTAGCTTTGGCAAATGGACAGGTGATGACTGGAAGGCCATTTAATACACAGAATAGGGGGCAGGGAGCAGGGAACTAAAGGAAAGGCCAAGGGCATTAAGCTCATAAAGGAGACTAAGAAAACAGTCCAGGAAGTAGGAATAGTTGGTGTGGCCATATGAATGAGATTAGGAAAAGAAGTTCCAAAAGCAGAGGGATCCTAGGCCAATCACAGGAAGGTCAATTGCAAGCTCTCCAAAGACCTCATCAGCAGAGAGTGCAGGGTAAGCCTGCTAGAGGAGGCTCCACCAGGGTGAGGAGGGAGGGGGCAGACTACAGATGGTCTGGCTCCTGGCATTGCCGGGGAAAGCTGGGCTGAATCCCTGTGATTTCAAAAATGGCCTTAGCCTGCAGCATGTCACCCCTTCATGTGTGATCTGGAGATAGCAACACCTGCCTCACAGGTACGTATGGGGACTCAGGGCAATGTCATCTGTAAAATTCCTAGAGCCGCTGTGTACCAACATCAGTCAATCGATGAGCACTGGCTTTCCTTAAAGAGTAATCAGAATGTAGGAAATAGGCAAATAAAATTGGTTTACCTTGAGGCTAAAAACCACTGTTTAACACTGGCAGATGTTGCCCATGTGGTCCTCAAATGGTGTCCTGTTGCAACAGAGCAGCTAATGTGCAAAATGCCACTCACTCTATAAAGAGGATTTCCTACTTCCTTTAATTGCCTCTCATATGGACAAACTTACCTGTTCTTCAATGAATCGCCTTTGTTTAAATATCTCCCAGTCTTCCGTTAACATGCGCTGTTTGGTTTTCATTGTCATCTAGAAAGCAGATGTTAAAAAAACAAAACAAACAAACAAAAACCCTTGGTACCAGCAGCAATTACACAGAGTATTTTCAAGGGAAGATTTTTTTCAAATGATATATATAAGATGTAAAGAAAACAGATACAATACTACAAATATATTATCAGGCAGCCCATTTCAGCATCTTATTCAACTTAATCAAAATCGCCACAAGTGCGTGCGTGTGTGTGTGTGTGTGTGGTGCTGGGGACTGAATCCAGTGCCTTGTGTATACAAGGCAAGCACTCTACCAACTGAGCTATATCCTCAGTCCCACAAGTGCTCTTTTTACAAGAGGCACAGTTCCCCAGAGCCTCCCACTGCAGAGGGCAGACCATTTCCTACCTGAAAGGAGAAGTGCTCTCTCCCTGAGCCTGCCTAGGTGTAAGCACACATGGTGGATATGAGAACTGCAGCACTCCTGAGCTGGCCCACTCCATCACTCCCATGAATTCCCCAGCCTGGAGACAAGTACTCAAGACCCTTCATCTAAACAATGTGTATAACTTTCTACACAAAAATCAATAGGTAAAATACAATGTGATTCAAGAAGAAGAAAACCTAAAATAGACTAATAGTAGATCTATACTTGTTCTTCCTCTCTGCAAACATGAATTAGGCCCCAAAGTTTTATGGTAAGTTCTATCACATTCTTCATGAAATAGAAAATTCAAACTATTCCTGCAAACTGAAAAAATACAGTTTCTCAAATTGTTCCATAAAGCTATCATGATCTTCTCACAAAACAGACAAGGTGTCAAAAACTAAAACTCAACTTCATAACACCTCAGAATATAAATAAAAAGTCCTAAATAAAACATCAGCAAGTTAAGTCTAACAGTGAAGAATATCATGATCTAATAAGGATTAATCTCAAGGATGCCAAGAATGCCTCAAAATTAGGAAACCTAATCTCTTAAAATTCATACAAAAACAGGAAAACTATAAAATCAAATTTGACATGTATTACTCTTTTTCTTTTAAAATAACCCAAGTAAATAAAGTAAACTTCTTGAATTTGCTAGTAAGTGCCAAAAAAGTCTGAATGGCAAATAGTGATTCATCGTGAAACATTCAAAACCCCACACAAGGACTGGCCAAGGGTGCCTCTGCCAGTATATTCATTCACCCTGCTCTGAAGGTTCTAATTGAAGCCAAAAAAGTTCAAATGCAAGAAAAGAATGAGATAGAATTATCATTATTTGAAGATGATATCATTATCTCCCAGAAAATTCAAAACAACTGACTCAAAAACTACTGAAGCTACTGGGGGACTTTGGTAAGACGAATGGTGCCCCTAACTCTGCCTTCCTGTTCATCAACAAGAACACGTTAGAAAGCATACTCACAAAACAGGACCCAAAACTAAGAAACTCCATGGCATAAACTTGGTAAGAAATGCACAGACTATGCAGGATAGAAAAAAAAGACCTAAAAATAAGGAGAGATCAGATTCTTAGATGGAAGGATTTAATATCAAGGGCCAACCCTTCCTTTTCAACATATATGCCTGCAGTTTTTAGAAAAGGCATTAGAAAACAAAAACCTTTATTTTGTTTATTTTGTTTTTTATGTGGTGCTAGGGATCAAACCCAGTGGCTCACATGTGCTATGTAAGCGCTCTACCACTGAGCCACAATCCCATCTCAGAAAAGCATTTTTCTTGGAGAGTATGTATTACTATTGCAAGTTTGAAAAATGATATTAGAAAGCTAAAAATTAGGAAAGGTGATCATATGTATACATATTTTCTTCATTCTTTTTAGATATACATGGCAGTAGAGTGTTTTTTTACATTACACATACTTGGAGTACAACTTATAGTTAGGATCCCACTCTTGTGGTTGTATATGATGTGGAGTTTCACTGGTGATGTATTCATATATAAAGATAGGAAATTATGTAATTAGTTCAGAATTCAAGAGTTACTTGGCACACAGAAGAGTCTGCTTCATGAGACTTCTGTTTAGACTGGAGTTTGCTGTGCTTGTAGTAGATCAGGAGCCAGGAGGTAAGATGGGGCTGGGACAGGGAGGTCAGCTGGGGGTCTCCATTTGCCACTCCATTTTATTGGTAAACAACATCAATAAAAACCCACTCTTTGGTCCTCTCCTCACATTCTCTGGGTCAAAATTAGTTGGGGGAAAAACTTGGGTAACTGCAGGGTTATGTATACATGTATCAAACAAAGAAAACATGAATTTTAAAAAGCAAAACAACATTTCAAAGCTGTCAATTGCCCCTTGCATTCTGTTTCTTTGTAAATAAAGACTCAATTATTTGACAAGTGCTCTACATTTTGAAATCTTTGAATTAGTATAAAATTTCTAAAATGCTTACTGATGAGAAGTAACTAATCTCCATTTCATAGGCTTTAAATTAAATGACAGATTTAAATGGTTCCATAGGGGACTGCAGTAACACAGTCACTAGATAGGACACCTGGGGCCATTGTGAGGGGGAAGGGCAGGAAAGATTTCCCCATCCCTGCAACCATCAGCGTTCAGAAGAAAACATGACTCTGATGATACCTTGATTTTGAACTTCTGGGTCTGGGCTTCTAGAACTATGACAAAATACATTTCTATTATTTTAAGTCACCTCCCTCATTCTGCAATGACTCCATGTATGCTACTAAAAGTGGCTCAATTTCTCAAATTTGTATTATAACGTCTTGATTTCTCATGGTTTTGGGTAGAGAGTGAAAAACAGGAATGTATTCTCTGGCTGCTTTAGTGGAGACAATGTTCTTTCTCTGTAAAAAAGATAGGACAGAGGGGAATGGTGGCATACAACTGTGATCCTAGTGGCTCAGGAGGCTGAGGCAGGAGGATCGCAAGTTCAAAGCCAGTCTCAGCAACTTAGCAAGACCCTGTCTCAAAATAAAAAATAAAGGACTGGGAATGTGGCTCAAGCGGTAGCACACTCGCCTGGCATGAGTGCAGCCCAGGTTTGATTCTCAGCACCACATACAAAAATAAAGATGTTGTGTCCTCCAAAAACTAGAAAAAAATAAATATTAAAATTCTCTCTCTCTCTCTCTCTCTCTCAAAATAAATAAATAAAATAAAAAGGGCTGGAGATGTGGCTCAATGGTTAAGCACCCCTGGGCTCAATCCTTGGTACCAAAAAAAAAGACAGAATTTTAAAGAAATAAATTCAATATCAGCTTTACTTTTTTCTTTTTTTTTTTTTTAGTTTTTCGGTGGACACAAGATCTTTTATTTTACATTTATGTGGTGCTGAGGATTGAACCTAGTGTCCTGTGCATGCTAGGCCAGCACTTTACCACTGAGCCACAACCCCAGCCCCATCAGCTTTACTTTTTAAGTGATACTGTATTTTTCTCCCAAGAGAAAGCATTGCTATTTTTACATACATTTCCATTTTCACTAGAACAGCAATGATAGCAATGTATATTATGCTAGTGAATGAAACCAATTGCAGGCAACAAACACTTCTAGGAATTATTACTCTTAAAGTATTCTTCAGTCATAGCAAAAAAGAAACATCCCCCTTCCTGAGAGTTACCCTGGGTCTTTTTCCTGTTCAGGCCTGGTCCAACAGGAAAAGTAAATCCACCACACCCATCCAATGTATACCAGGGGACAGGATGTGGACCATTCTGCCTGGAGCCCTAAGCCTGCCTGACTGGGCCCTTGGGGAGCCTCCTGCCACCCACAGCTGTGGTAACTATATCTAGAGCCCAAGAGCAGTGAAGGTGTGATCCACACAGAGCCTGGCACCATGCTCTTCTCTAATCTGAATTACTATTTAATTATTCCATTTTCTGAAATCACCTAATGGTTATTTATCACTGCATAAGCTTATATAGATATAACATGAGGGAAACCAACTCTAGTGAATAACAGGAGAAATGCCAAATGTGTGGAGAGAGGGAGGCAGCAGTCCCACTCAGAGAAGCTCCCAGACTCGGGAGTCTTGAGAAGCCAGCCTCCCCATTTCTATACCAGGATAGGCACTGCCCACATACCTGGGGGTCTCCATTTGCCACTCAAGCCTAGCAGACAGTGCCTCCCCAGAAAGTGTTCTGCAAAGCCCTGATGAGCACTGAGCAGCAGGCACAGAGATTACCATCCCCACTGTCAGGAATAGGTGTGTTCCTTGATTTACATCTCAGAATGGAGGGGACCGGAAGGTCTTCTAGTCCAACCAGGCCTGAAATCTCTGCCAACTCACTTCTGCACATTCCCTACCCCAAGAATCATAGCATCTCCACACTAGGGTGCAGGGCAGAGATGAAACAGCTTCTCAGTTACTGCAATGACTACTACAGCACTGAAATGGGCCCTGAGACATTTATCTCCAGGCCAACAGCAAATGCCAGCTGGTACCATCTGGGCGCGCTTTGGCAGCTGTCCTGCAGTGAGCTAACTGTAGAAGGCTCCAAAGGTGGTGCATGTGCCCTGCTGCAGTCCAGAATATCCACAGCAACATGCCTCCCTTTTACCCCAATACATGAACCTTGTCAAAGATAAAATGAGGACATTGCAGGCCATGGTCCTTGGAAAAGACAAGAGAGGTCCTGAGTTTATTTCATAACATCAACGCCCTGGAGGGTTCCTTGACCTCACACAGTATGACTTTCCTATAACTGAAGCTGTCAGGACAGAGACTTGGTAGGTAATATTATTTCATAATTTCACTTCCTGAGAGACCTATGGATTCAAGGCTCTTCCATGCACCTCTCACAAGTAGCTCCTTTGGTAGCCTTGAGGCCCTTGTCATCTGCAGTGGCCCTTCCCTGGGTCCAGGAGCCCCAGTGCTCCTGTCCCTGTTAACAGCTGCAATAGCCCTGCTTCCTGCACCTCACTTCCTCTCCAGCTCCTCATCAGTTTCCTTCCACCACTCCCTTGAGCCCCAATGATAAGATCTACCCATAGTCTGAATCTTAGATGTTCCGTAAACATTCATCTGTTAAAGGCTTGTTTGCCAGCCTGTAGCACCAGTGGAAGGTGACAAAACCTTGAGGAGGTGGGGGCTAATGGGAGAAGTTAGATCATAGGGGTACATTCTCCTCAAAGGGGATACTGGGACCACAGCCCCTTCTCTTCTCTTTTTGCTTCCTGGCTGCCATGACTGTGCCTCTGCAGGCTCAAAGCAACAGGGTCAACAGACCATAAACTACACCCTCTGAAACCATGAGCCACAAACTTTTCATCCTTATGAGTTAATTATTCCAAGCACTTTGTCATAATAACAGAAAGCTGACTCAAATCTAGACTCCCCCCACCCCCGCACCGTTTTCCTTTACAGAATACTAATGATCTGACACCCCAGTAAACCAGAGTTTCACTGCTTCTCTCTTACCTTGTTACCCTCCACAAACTACTATGCACAGCTATCCTGGGGTATTCTCTGTAGGTGACCCTTAAGCAGCTTACCACAATGCAATTCACTACACAAGGGACTACTTCTTGCAGTTTTTTTTTTCTTTCTTTTTTTTAAAACAAAGCAAAATCCCAGCAGCTCCAGAGACTAAGGAAGGAAGATTGGGAGTTCAAAGCCAGCTCAGCAAAAGTGAGGGCACTAAACAACTCATTGAGACCCTGTCTCTAAATAAAATACAAAATAGGATGGGGGATGTGGCTCAGTAGTCAAGTGCCCCTGAGTTCAATCCACAATACCCACTTTCCCCCACAAAAAAAAAAGCACAAAAAATTTATTTGGAATTAATGGAACACAAAACTGAAGGGAAACAGTTTAAGCAGAGCTCATGAGGCAGATCCAGAATTGTAGCCTGCTGTCAATTTTCATGGTCCTGCACAGAACCCATGTCAAGTAGATCCCCCAAGGAACAGTGACCTCTGTGCAAGGATCCCTCTGCATTGCCACAGCTCAAGAGCCTGCTACAGCTGACCTCCCTGTCCCAGCCCCATTTTACCTCCTGGCTCCTGATGTACTACAAGCCACAGCAAACTCCAGTCTAAACAGAAGTCTCATGAAGCAGACTCTTCTGTGTGCCGACAGCAGAGGGGAAAGCAGCTAGCTCTCCATATCCTCTCTGCTGTGCTTTCATGTGAATAGCTGCTGGCTACTTGAATGCTCAGGCCTAGGAGCTGAGGCTGCAGAGAGAATGCTGCAGCTCTACTCATGATCTGCTTGTCTGGCCCTCCTCACCCAGGCAAGCCACAGGCAGAGCTTCATGAGCATCAGCCCAACTGACACTGTCGAAGTGGCTTGGGAACAGCCCTGCTCCAACAGCAGCCTGAAGTAAGACAACACTGCTCAGTGACAAAGCACAGCTAGAGAGCAAGTCTTTGATTGCACAACCAGACAAAAACATGATTCAGGGTCATATCCATGCTGAAGAAATCTCAAAGCAACAATGGTTCTCCCAAATTCTGCCAGTGACCACAGGACAAGAGGGAGAAAGCTGTAGGAACTGATTAGCCCCACTGCCCTGCCTCTCTACTGTGCTTGCAGCTCAGGGTGAAGCCCACTGCAGTGATGAAGGAGAAGGGCAGAACAACAAGGAGCAAGAGACTAAGCAATGGCAGTAAGGCAACTACCACATAAAGCAAGGCCTGAGCTCCCCAAACAGTGAGATGGATTACAAGAGAAGTGAGCACATACCAGTGCCCTCCTCCTTCCTTATAGCTGCTTAATGCTCAGATAGGGACAAAAGTTAACAAAGGGCTTGGTCAGCTTCTAAGTGGCACTAACAATCCTGGGATAGACTTAGAACCAGTACACACCTGAATCCAGAACCACAGCTCTATTTTTCCACGAACAGTCTGAAAAGCCTAATACAGAGCTCTGTCGTTTTTCCTTTTTACTTCTTCATACCAATGACCTTTAAAATAAGACCACTTTGACTTCCTTGCCTGATTCTACTAGAGGTTCTAGAAAGTTAGGAGGCCGGGGTTGGACAGGAGGGGATAACATCTCAAAGACTTGCTCAGAGTCTGTCCCCACCTGAGGGGCTCTGGCCACATAGTGCAATGTCCCTGCACGTCCATCTCCAGCAGGCATGGCCTGCCTCCCAGCTCTCCTCCAGCTTCCTTATCACTTTCATGTGTATCTGTGCTCCCTTTCTGGATGGTTCAGGATGAATGAAGAGTAGGCTCTGAATACCACAGTGTTCAGTAAAGGCTTCTGGAATTACAAGGTCTGGTGGCTTCCTAAAGTCCCCAAGATTCCTGCATGAACACAGACTATGCAAGGGATGGTGTACACACCCTGGCTGAGGTGAACCTGACCAAGTGCCACCACCACATCACCAGTACAGCTCTGCTAGGAAAACTATCTGCTGCAGTGAGGTCCCCCACCTTCGTGTCCCAGGGCCTCTGCCAGGAAGCCCTGCTCCTCCACTGTAGAGAGCCCCTTGGCACACATCCTGTCAATGCACAGGCTATGCCTCTGGCACAGTGCTCACCTGCTCGTCCACATAGGCATCAATCCTCTTCTGGCACTCCAGCCACTGCTCCGCGACTCTGCGCAGCTCCTCCTCAGAGCGCTGGAACCTCTGCAGCAAGGTGCTGTATGTATCTTCATTGCAGGTGTCATGTGTGGTGGTCCCCAGCCTAGGAGGGAGGAGGCCTTGTGACAAGAGAGCCTCAAGACTCCAGCTGGGAAGCAGAGGTGTACCTGCCACGACAGTCTACCTGGGTCGTCTCAAAAACACAGTAATGCCACTACATACCACAGCAGGGCTGCAGTGAGGGCCCAATAGGTCACAGATGCAAGGTACCCAATAAAACCTCACATAAAGGAGATACTCAAAGAAAGAAGAGCTCCTAAGAAAAGGAATTAGTAGGGAATAATGCCATTCCCAAAGACCACGGCTATGGTTCTGTTTGCTGCACATGGGGTCATGAACTATTTTTTTTTCTATTGAAATACAGACCCAGAGAACATTTACTGAGAGAAAAAAATTTATACTTGGTTTTCAAATAAAGCAAAACAGAAAATCAGATTCAAATGAAGAAATACAGTTACACTGTATTAAGAACAATGGTAAGATGGGAAATGAAGGACATGCAGATGGACTAGAGAAAAAAATATGCGGATTTCTGAAAAAAAGAGGACATGAAGCAAGATAGAGGTTTGGGAGAGAGAAGATGGCAGCTCAAGGGGTGGTGTGGAGCTACATAGAGATTCTCACCAGAAAAATTCATTTCCTTAATATGTAAATACACCAACATGTCAGCCCATATTAGCTGGAATACAGAGTTCTCAACACTGATTATTCAGAATCAAAGATTCAAGATGGGAAGCAGAGGTATGCCTGCTTTACATTTATACCAGAAACATTTATATCAGAAACACAAAAAGTGCCAGGCACAGTGTAATCCCAGCAGCTCAGGAGGCTGAGCAAGGAAGATCACGAGTTCAAAGCCAGCCTCAGCAAAAGCTAGGCACGAAGCAACTCAGCAAGACCCTGTCTCTAGATAAAATACAAAACAGGACTGGGGATGTGGCTCAGTGGTTGAGTGCCCCTGGGTTTAATCCTCAGTACACTCCCTGTCTTGAAAAGAAACACAAAGACTTAAGTGCAAGGGTAGACATATAAGCACTGTTGATATAAAAAAAACTGGGAGTTAGCCACAGAGAAATAAAATAATTATGGGATGTCTAGGTGAAGGGATATAAGACAAAATTGTAAAATTTGTAGTTATCTATTCATCCACACATACACACATATACATGTATGTTTTAAAATGAAAATATACTAGATACAAATACAGCATACTTAAAAATGTGCATGTGTGGGCTGAACACGTAGCTGAGAGGTGAAGTTCTTGACTAACAGGTGTGAGGCTCTGGGTTTCATCCCCAGTAATGAAAAAAAATTATGTGGGGCTGAGGCTATGACTCAGTGGCAGAGCCCTTGCCTAGCATGTGTGAGGCACTGGGTTGAATCCTTAGCACCACATAAAAATAAACAAAATAAAAGGCATGTTGGCCATCTACAACTACAAAAAATAAACAAATATAAAAACAAACAAACAAACAAATGTATGTGGCAGGACACAGGAAAAATGTGCAAGAAACATCAAAGTGATTACAGTGCTTTTTTCCTTCATGATTTTATATATTTTCAGGATTTTATCTATGGTAACAATCTAATAATTTTATAATAATAAAATCACTAGGCCCTGTGGCACGTGCCTGTCTAAAGGGTAATTAGATAATTAGATTAATTAGAATAATTACCAAATTTGAAGAGAGCCTGGGCAAACACAGTGAGACCCTGTCTCAAAATAAAAAGAAAGAAAGGCTGGGTGAACAGCTCAGTGGAAGAGTGCCTCTAGGTTCCATCCCTAGTACTGGGAAAAATAAATAAATAAATAAAATGAAGCCATTTTAAATTAAAATCTTGTCACAGGTAGAAATAAACAGAAACAACTCACTCTTTTCCTTTTATCTGGGAGGTTCATGGGGAAATACTACATAGAGAGGGAATCTGCAACCAAACCCCCTGGTTGCTAACCCTACCTACACACATGGATGACAGCCATGCAGAAGCATGCAGAAGTTGTTAGGGAACAATGCAGGAAACAGAATACTGATGCACACAGGGACAGTGAGCAGTGCAAGCATCAAGTTTCCTAAGACTCTCCCTCTCAGGAAAAACAGCTCCTCAAGATATGGCTCTAGTGACACCATCTTTCTCTTCTGGGTTCTGTACCAATACCTAGCATGACCCCAGACCTCAAGAACACAGCCTTGCCTCCTGCCACGCTGTGGCTGTGAAGTAGAGATCTTCTGCAGACTCTGGTGGCTACCAGCCTTGCTCCTCTCATGAATGACTTCCACACTTCACACAAAGCTCATTTTATGTGTAATTCCATCTGGCCCCCCATTCCACCTGCTCCTACCAGAAGTAAGCACACATCTCTTCCAATTTATAGGACACTGATTATTTTCAGCCACAGGAGGGCAGAGGAGACAGGGGTCCTGGAGATTTCTTTGCTGGTATAATGTGAGAGTTCCATAAGTGTATTCATGCAGGACCCAGATTATGGCACTTCTATCTTGTCAAAGGACAGACAGTTCTTTAACAGGTAAGTTGTCAGGAAAAAGAGGGTGCTGCTACAGATTAAGACTTTCAAAAGACAAAGGGGGAAAAGGATAGAATGGGAGTTACTGTTTGGTGGTTACAGAATTTCTGTTTGAGGTGATGAGACAAAGTTTTGGAAATATGTAGCAGTGATGGCTGTAAATAAATGCTAAATAACCATACACTTAAAATGGCTAAATTGGGAGGTTTTATATCAGATATATTTTATCAAATTTAAATTAAAAACTATGCAATATGCTAACAGCTACTGAATTGTATATTTTAATTGGTAAACTGCACAATATGCACGTGTCTCAATAAAGCTATTCACATAAAAGAAAAATAACTTTCTTAAACTGTATCAAATTCATTTGGATGAGGACAGCTTTGGGTAGACAATTCATGTTTAAAAACAAAACAAAACAAAAAGCCAGGTGAGATTAAGAAAGGAAAAACACACTTGGCTATCAAGAGGAGAATGGCTACAGTGACAATTCTGGGCAAAGAAACTGATGTGGAGGGGCAGACATGGGTGCTGCTCTAGACACTTGCCTTTCAGCAGTTAATTAAACTCAATGTGTGCTTCGCACAGACCTCCCTATCTTTTCAAAGAAGTCAAACAAGCCCGGAGATGAAGTGCTAGTATTAAAATACAGCTGCTGTATTTTGTTGCTTAGGGAGTATTGTTTACACATAATTTGTGTCAAGAATTTTTATGAGTTGTTAAATCTGTTTGTTCACTGGAAACTCAAGTCTATATCCTTCTCAGATCCAACAGTGGAGTCCCCATGGGACGTCAAAGGACTGCTTTATCACCAGCACCATGCCTCATCTGCTCCTAGAACTCAGAGATTGTAGCAAGAACCTCAGAATTAACATTTAAGACTATAAGACACTGCTGCTCTTTAGAGTCTGTCCATTTTATTCCTGATGAGAAATAAAAAAATCTAGAACATGGGCACAGGGGGGAAAAAAAAACAAAACAAGAGCTTTATAATGCCTTTGAAGTTTCTGTCACCATCCCACAGTATGATGACAAGCCCATCAAACCTGCTGGTTCACAGTAGCAGGATGGATAGCTTCAGGTGGATGTCTACCTCTTGGCTTAGAAGACAATGAGTTCTTCAACCTCAGCTTCCAAAAAGTTTCCAGCTCCTTTTCTTTCTTCTTCTTCTTCTTCTTTTTTTTCCTTCACTATTGGGGATCCAACCCAGGGCCTCACACAGTTAGTGTATTAAAATCTTTTAAACAGTGGACACAGGAGCAGGAGTTGGTGGGTGGACTGTGCTTCCTGTCCGGGGGCCTTGTAGTAGGGGCTCTGAGAGCCATGGCACCCACTGGACCATCAGCAGGCCTCCCTATACAAGGGCTTCAGAGGCTGCACTAAGCAACTTCATTTACAAAGCCCCCCCTGGGTGTGATCCCCAAATGGACATTCAGTCAAACACCTGCACAGACATACAGGGATCCCGGCCATGGCATGACCATGTGTCTCTGTGCCCTGTGGACAGGAGACGAGGAGTGCTGTGTCTGAGCCTCTGTGCTAAAGGCTTCTCCCCTGTAGTTAGGGGATAATGATCTCTGCCTCCTTGGGCTTGTGCAGAATAGACTTATTAATAAACATGAGGTACTGAGAGCACTGCTCACCACACCGCCAATGCTATGGAAAAACAAAAACAAACAAAACACACACACAAAAAAACAGTGGACACAGAGGGAAAGAGAAGCTGGGAAGCAGGCTGTGGCTGAATGCTGGAAGAGTTAGGCACACCTGCGAGTGCCACGCCATGCCTGCACAACACCTTTCCATCAATCCCTCTAACGTCCCTTTTTTTGTTTTAAACAGTATTAATCTCACTTAAATATCATTTATTTAAAATAGTATTTTTCTCTCCTTTTTCAAATTGAAGGCTGCAAAAAATAAAAGCAGTGCTTTCTTAGCTGAACTGCTCTTATCTTTCACATTGCAAAACCTCAGCAGGCACAAGCCACACCTATCCTACTTTATACAAAACAGTTCTCCCGTTTAATCAAATAAAACTACTGGACATGACATTGGTTTTGGAAAAGTACTGAATGTAGGAAAGCCAGGTATGCTGGAGTTACTTTAAGTAAAAAGGTTGCTCCAACTACGGCATCTTTGCTTCCTCAAGGAAAAACTGTAGATAAACCCAAAAGAAAACAAGATGACGATCAGGAAGATAACCAAGAAGGTCAAGCAGTCCTCCAATTCCCTGACCTTGTACACCGAGCAGCCACCAGCAATGGAGTTGGCAGAATATGGGGTGACCTATCAATTCTAAATGCTAAAGACCCTGGGGTGATGAGGAAGGGTAGAGCAGTGGCCCAGGGAATGGCAAGGAAGACACCTGACTGAGCCTCCAGGTTGTAAGTGGGACTGCTCCTGTAGCAGGGACTTATGGTCCAAGACCACTCAGACTTGCTGACCCAACAGGGATGGCAGTGGCCTAGTGGGCTCAGCCCTGTGAAGTGCACCACCAAACTGTTTTTGAGGCTGTTCTTTGTCTAGAAATGAGGTTGTAAAATGGGGGACAGTTAAGGGCCAACCCTCAAATAAAATTTGGGAACATATGCAATGAACACTACATCAACACCTGGGTTTTAAGTTTTTTTTTTTTTTTTTTTTAAAGCAGACTGGTAGGTAATCAGGGTGATAATTTATTACAAGCAGCTCCTCCTGCTTTTTTTGGTGGCACTAGGTATTGAACCCAAGGCCTGGCACATACTAGGCAAGCACTCTACTACAATAAATACATATATCCCCAGCCCCCTGTTTAGTTATATATTGAGACAGAGTCTCCCTAAGTTATCAAGAATGACCTCAAACTTGCAATCCTCTTGCCTCAGCCTGTTGAACTGGAATGACTAACATGTGCCACTATACCCAGGTTGTGGTTCCCCTTCCTTGTCAATCTATTCAAACTACATTTTGGTATAGCCAAACAAAAATAGCTATTGTTAGGTGTATCTTGAATATGCAGTTAACAGGTAGGAAAAACAAAATCATACACTGGGGACTAAGGTAGCTCTCACATGACTCCACTCTGCTAAGCAATATCAGATGAAAGAGAGGCATGCCTCCTAACTCTACACAGTACCTTCAGGGCAAACGTACACCCAGCCCCCAGCCCCTCACTTGCTCCAGTTCATGCCCCACAAATGCCCACAAGTGAGTTCTGCAATATTATGTTTATGTTGACATAAGAAAGCCACCTGGGTACTCCATATCAGGAAGATGAATTCAGGGGACAAGCAGAGATGCAGAGCTGTAGCATGGAGGGCACATTTCTAAGAGATGGCAACATATGCCTAATGCTCAAGATAGCCTGCATGCTCACATCTGGGCCTTGCCTCCTTCTCCGACCTTCCTTGCACATCCCTACACCACAGAAGAACCACAGCATTCCTGCCAGATAGAGAGAGTCCTGCCAAAGGAAAGCACTTTATTACTGTAGCTTTCCTATATTTATGAGGAGTTTGTAGTGTTAATTCTGAATGGCATTTATATTGGTTTATTACTTAAAAATTTAATTTTATTACTCCTTAGGTTTTGAGTTTTCTGCCCAAACTGTCTTTTTCTCTAGGCCCTGTGTTATTTTTTCTGCAAGAAGGTCCAAGCACACATAGATGAAGTGGTCTCTAGGCGCACACACACACACACACACACACACACACTATATCACAGGAAAACTGTACTGTCACACCACAGGATGTACACAGATTAAGAATAAGTACCTGATCTGTGACACCAATGCTGGTAAGTTGCTCTGGAGAAGTGGCTCTGAAAAGACCAGATTTTCAAACAGGTGTTTATTATGCAGTTCCCAGGTCACCTGGAATTTTTTCAAGTGTTCATTTTCCTAGTTAATAAAAAAAAAGTAAAAAAAAATAATTAAAACACACACGTACCCCCTACCCCCACACACACAAAAAAAGGAGGCAGTGAGTGAAATGATGAAGACTTGAAATCTCCAAGAAGGATTTCCTTCCCACCCAACAAATCCTCTATACAGGTCCAGAACATTCTGCCTATGAGGAGTCACTTCTCCCTGTGAATCCCAAAGCACACACTGAATTACTGAGTCAGATCTCCAATTTTAGTGACATGAGTCTCCATCTCATTTCCCTTCTAAATAAACTCACACACATAAAAAGGGCAGCAGGTGCACACACAGATGAAAAAAAAGGCAGAGAAAGAAAACATACTTGGTTGACATTTCTTACAATTAATTAGGCTTTCAAAGGTGACAGAAGCCCTACATTTCAAAAAGTGTTAATGAATATAAATCCTTTGATGTCAAAAGACAATCATTTTCTTGCCTATCTGAGAAAGCACTCATTCTGATAGATGCAAATAATTTCTCTTCTAGTGATACTGTGGCAAAGAGAAGGTTTTTCGCTTTCCTAATTAGCGTAATCGAAATCAATAACTGCTTTAGACAATGCTCTCAAACACTGGGCCACACTGGTTACCACCTCATTCTGCAGCAGTGCTTCTTGTCTCCATTGATACTCACAATGATCTTCCAGCTGTCACCTCTGCCCTCAGTCTAATTCCTAGGAACCTCTCAGTGACAGCTATACCTCCTCCCTATATCCTTTTACTTTTGGTATCAGGCATTGAATCCAGGGGCATTTAACCACTAAGCCACATCCTCAGCCGCCCGCCCTTTTTTAAATATATATATATATTTTTAAGATGTAGATGGGACACAATACCTTTGTTTTATTTGATAATTCTTATGTGGTGCCAGAGTTCAAACCCAGTGCCTCATGCATGCTAGGCAAGTGCTCTACCACTAAGCCACAACCCAGTCCCACCCAGCCCTTTTTTATATTTAATTTAGAGTCAGAGTCTCCCTGAGTTGCTTAGGGCCTAAGTTGCTGCGGCTGGCTTTGAACTCATGATCCTCCTATCTCAGCCTCCCAAGCTGCTGGGAATACAGACATGTGCCACCATACCTAGCTCCCTGTATCCTTAAGCTCTCTATATGTCCCAATTCTTTTTTCCTTTGAGCTACATCCTGTAGAATTCCTTTACCTCTTTCCAATCCACAAATTCCCTTTTCAGCTTCTTAGTTTGTTTAATCTATCCATTAAACTTTTTTTAATTATGCCTTTTTATTTTTAGTTTTGTTCCCCCCCACCCCAAGTCTGGATGATCCTTCTTTATTTTATTTTTTAAAATATTTTTTTTAGTTATACATGGACACAATATCTTTATTTTATTTATTTATTTTTATGTGGTGCTGAGTATCGAACACAGGGTCTCTTGTGTGCAAGGCAAGCACTCTACCACTGAGCCACAACCCCAGCCCCTGAATGATCCTTCTTTAGAGCCTTAATTCAAAATTTCAAATGTTTGGGGCTGGGGTTGTGGCTCTGTGGTAGAGTGCTCATCTATCGCGTGTGAAGCCCTGGGGTTCAATCCTCAGCGCCATATAAAAATAAATAAATAAAACAAAGGTATTGCATCCAAGTACAACTAAAAAACAAATACTTTTTAAAATTTTTCAAATGTTTTTATATCTGTACAGTTAACAGTTATATTCTTTGAAATGTAAACATCTTTGGTATATATGTTTCTGCTGGCTCTCAGTTGTGCTATCTTGAACCATGTGTTTTATGGTTTTGTTTTTTTTTTTTAAACTATGAGCTGCTTCAGTATCACTATACTACCCCCTACAAAAGCCAAAAAAGAGAAAGAAGAATAAAAAGAAATTTATGAGCTGCTTATAATGGAAATCTCCAAGAAGGAGATTTTGAGAGCATTGTCTAAAGCAGTACAGTATAAAAGAATGCTATGCCAATTCTTTGAGGTGGGCCCAGAAGGCCAAGCCTCTAGAGATGCATGCTCCTTGACTTTGCCAAAAGCCTTGGACCTCTGCAGCCTAACTTCCAGGCTTGAGCTATCTGCACCACACCAACAGCAGGGGCTTATCCTGCTAAACCTAAATGTGGGGGCTGGGGATGTGGCTCAAGCAGTAGCGCGCTCGCCTAGCATGCGTGCGGCCCGGGTTCGATCCTCAGCACCACATACCAACAAAGATGTTGTGTC